ATTCTCATTTCCATCTTTGTCAAACAATCCAAAGCTATAAAAATGGCCAGTATTGTGCTGGAGACACTTTGCTGAAGAATTTGGAGGGTGGGGGAGCATTACAGGGAAAGCTAAAAGTTTAAAGGATAGACATGAGAGCAGTTTGTCTCCTAAAAGCTTCTTATTCCCATTCCCATTAAAGAATCTAAGCAGCTCAAAACAGAGCAAAAAGTTTGCTCTTTTGATCTCACCACCATTTTTGTAATTACAAACAGACCTCCAACTTGTCCAGAGAACTAGTAGCTAAAAGTTTCCCAGCCCTTCTTTTAAATATTAATATTTTTAAGTATAATCATCAATTATTTCAGGGGTGGGTAATTCATTTTCCCAAGGGCATCATTAGAAAATGGGACTGTTGTGGAGGGCCAAATCAATAGGACTCTGAAGGTGCATAGGCATGCATGCATGCACACATGTAAACTTAAAAAATAACAGTCGCCTTCAAAATAAAACCAACCCATGTGGGAAGGACAGGGACAGCCAAAAGTCAGGATGTGGCCCAAGGGCCAGAAACTGCCCAGGTCTGCATTATTTCATTAATTACCAGGGCATTATTGAGAGCATAGCTCTCTAGTAATGCACAATGAAGATAAAAATAGCAAGAAAAAATGTATTTCTCTTGGAAAAAAATGCACCTGGTTTGTTTGTGACTAAGTCATGCAGTTAATGGTAGGAAAGCTTTAGTTCATAACTCCATCTTCCCGAAGCATAATTGATTTAAATTAAAACCAATGATATACAGTAAATGAAAGTAGCCTCGGATAGAATGGTGTTTATTTATTAAACAAATTTATATAGCACCCATCTCACACACAGTGACCCAGTTCGGGGACATTATGCCATTTATACTTTAATTTTCTGCCATAATACTTTGATTATAGTTGATATGGCTTACTGAACAGAGCTCAAGACTTGGCCCATATGTTACATTTACAATCATGGGTTGTCATAACTAGACACAACTGGTAGGATATTGCACAGTGTCACGTAATCTGTATAGTCTGAAAAGTGTCCTGAAAAATGTTACATTCTTAGCTAAGCACTTTTTCAAATCTTTATTTGTAAGGTAATAACTATTCTCGAGCTAGACTGACATTTATATTGTCTATTTTTTTTTCAATGAACATTTATAATTTATGTGTTTATTATTTTTAAGACTATTGGCTTTATTGCATGATTTTATTTAAGAACCCTTTTAATATTCTCTTGTAAACTGCTCTGGCTCATGGATGAGAAAGACCAATATAGAAATAAAATGAGAATTGTATCATATTGTATTATATTAGGTTATATTCATTTAAAAAAACCTTTTTTGTTATTATTGAAAAAAGTTGAATTGGGCAATTCAACAATAAAATATTTAGGGAACTTTCAAAGCAATCTTTTGTTTTGAATAGGCTCCAGTCTGAACTTCTCTTACAGCCATATCTATTTTGAGAGCTCAGGGCAAGTACTGTATTTCTGATTTTGCTCTCATTTATTGGAACGGTAGCAATACTGTGGATTTCTTTGTACTGCTGTGGTTCACAGACCTTGTGGACAAAATATTTTCCCACTGACAAGAAGTGTTTCATTCTACAGCAATGGTCCCCAACCTTTGCGGCTTGGCAGCCCAGCTGGAAGGGGAAGGGGGGAACTGCACTGCACAAGTGGCAGACCGGCAGACAGGCATAAAGCTTGACTTGAACAAGCAGAAGGCCAGGGTGCACATACATGAATGCCACCTAGCCCACTGGTTGCCCAAGTATGAGTTGTGTGTGTGTGTGCTCCAGCCAACCATTCGTGGCCAATTCCAAATAGGCCATGGCCCAGAAGTGGGCTTCAGGGATCTCTGTTCTACAGTGCCTATGGCTTCTAGGATCAAGTCACCATTTCTCTTTCACACTCTCATTCACATGCCCATAAGTACTATTTTATTCATGAAGCATATGTCCTCTTATATGGATTCTCTACAGTTTCTCTTGTCATTTTCCCAACTCAATTAACAGAAATACGCCACCAAGATCATAGTTATTTGAGAAAATCCCCAGCTTTACAACTCATAGAGACTTTTAAATACAAGATCAGAATGGTAGAAATAGAACTGGGAGACTTCCTAGAAGTTCACTGTTTTTTGGTATGCATTGAGGGACTTTTGGAAGATTGAAATCTCACTTAAGAGGTTGTGTGCCATGGCAGAAAAGGTTCATTTCCTGGTCACGCTAAACATAACCCCTTAGCAGACAAGACCCAGAGCATTCCTTTCTTGCCAGACCCAATGGGATGGGAAGATCTATTTTGGAGGTAGTCCCTCAAAATTTTGGAGGAGCCACAAAGTTTTGGAGCTATGGAATAGAAAAATATGAAAATATAGAAAAACTGGACTTTAAATAAAACCCAGTGTAGATAAAGAGCTTATAGAAAATAGTTAAAATAGAAAATAGTTTTATCATTAAATTAATTTCTGATTGGGTTGAAAGTACCAATAAAGGAGAATATTTGTAGCTCAAGGTTGAAATGAGGGATCCTTGGTGCTCTCTGAGCTTGCTTGTTTTCTTGCAGATGTTTCATTAACCAAACTAGATAATCATCAGTGCTAGTAAGGAGTGCAGTTTGCTTTGTGAGGGATTGGGTCTAGAAATGGTGGTGGTGTATGTAAGTACCCCAGATGTAGTAATTAATGCCAAGACTTAAATATTTTCTGCCTAGTATTATATTAGGGGACTGGAGGCTAAAGCATACAGTATAAGGAACGACTGCTGGAATTGAGTATGTCTAGTTTAATGAAGAGAAGGACAAGGGGGGGGACATGATAGCCATGTTCTAATACCTCAGGGGCTGCCACAAAGAAGAGGGAGTCAAGCTATTCTCCAAAGCACCTGAACGCAGGACAAGAAGCAACAGATGGAAACTAATCAAGGAGAGAAGCAACCTAGAACTAAGGAGAAATTTCCTGACAGTTAGAACAATTAATCAGTGGAACAACCTGCCTCCAGAAATGGTGAATGCTCCAACACTGGAAGTTTTTAAGAAGAGACTGACAGCCATTTGTCCAAAATGGTATAGGGTTTCCTGCCTGAGCAGGGGGTTGGACTAGATGACCTCCAAGGTCCCTTCCAACTTTATTATTATTATTATTATTATTATTATTATTATTATTATTATTATTATTATTATTATTATTATTATTACCAACAGTCAACTCCACATTTAAGCAACACACATTCAGTGGTTCAAACCTAATCATTTTGTTATATGCCTTCTCAGAATGAACGAATATGAAACAGACTTTTGTTTTTACACTCATACATTTCTCAGTGATCTGCTGAAGAGCAACAATGTGATCTGTATATTTTGTTCCCAGCATAAAGCTATACTGTATTTCCAAATGTTCTTATTGTCAACTTTGTTGTTGTTGTTTTGTTGTTGTTGTTGTTGTTGTTTGTTTTAATGGCCATCCTGGCTAAGCCAAAACAAGTAGGAACTGGATAACTGTTCAGATATCATCTTGAAAATATTCAACATCAAATTCTTAAGGGGGGGATTTGATAAGAATCTTTGTCCTAATTTTGTGATTTTTAGGAATTTGGGTAGAAAGTAAGCTTCCACTTTAATAACAGAACAAACTATCAAATGCAAAGTTGTGCTGAATTATAAATAACAACTTTAGGCCATCACATTCCAAATGGACTTTCCAAAGAAGAGAAAAAATATGATGGAGAGAGATTAATAAATTCTTTACAGACTATTGGTTAATCTTCCTTCCTTCCTTCACAATGAAAAATCTAACTTTATTGTTAGATATGGTTGCTAAAAGCACCTTTGAGAATGTTCCAAGATGTCATTCATTCCTATTATTCTGCCTGTACCAAATAATATTTTATTTCCTCATGGCCTGAGGGATACTATGATTCAGTTTGTTTCCATACCTTCCTTCTTGATTCACAGTTATATTTGGTTTCTCTGTTGTACCAGATTTTCAGTCAACTTGCTGACAGCTCTTCTAAGCTTTAGGGATGGATGTAAGATTTACTTGACTTATCATTTTTCAAGGCCAGTGTTGAACACAAGTTTGATTTGAAGTAGGTGGTAGTTAGTTTAAAGCAAAGGCACAGATTTATAAGGTACCAACATTTCTAGTTTGCTAAATATTTAATCCTGAAAAATTTACAGCATTTACCCTCTTACTGGGAAGGAAGCCACACTAAACAATAAAGTTTATATCTGAATAGACAGATATAGAACTAGGTTGTAACTCTATGGAATAATGGAATAACAGAGTTGGAAGGGACCTTGGAGGTCTTCTAGTCCAGCTCCCTGCACAAGCAGGAGACTGTCTTGTCACTGATGCCCACAAGCAGATTGATCCCCTAGGATACATTTACATGCAGTTTAATTTGCCCTCTATATTCCATTTCCATTGTCATTTCTCAACTGTTTATAGTGTCTTGCCTTTTTGATCATTAGGGTGCATCATTAACTAACAGAAGGTGCATCATTAACTAACTAAGGCAAGGTGACAGAGACAAATGTGGAAGACAAAGACTTCAAACAATGGGAGAAAAAAGTAATACATTTTAAAGATTTTTCCCTTTTTCAAACAGAAAACAATGCAGAGTATATATTGCAATGTGTTAAAATGGGACAAGACGAATAATATTGGTTTACAATCTATTGGTCTTTCCAAGTATTCAAAGTTTGTCAAATTGTGGCACTAAAATCATGGAGATCTGTTAAATTTAGTCCTGCTTATTTCAAGGGGACAAATCTATTTCAAATCTAAACACAGTCACGTCTGCAAACAGGCAGCTTTAGTGATTGGTTTGGCAGCTTCCTAGATACCTTTGTGGGGCATGGGTGTAGGTCACAAAGGTGGAGGAGCAGGTGGAGGAGCAGGTGCCTTTTGATAGGAGGATAAGGAAGGCAGATCATCTCCTTGGGGATTCTAATAGCTTTATGACTTCATCCCTGCAGGCTAAAGTGTCAGTTACTGTCAGTTATCAGAGTGAAGATGTCTTCCTAGAAATAAGTTGCTCTTCAATAGGGCTCCTGGACTCTGAGGAAGCTTCCTTCTTTTATAGTCAATTTTCAGAGGGGTAAGTGAGGATAAGAGTTTGGGTTAGGCTGAGAGTGGGGGTGAGGGTGAATGGGCGAGAGGGAGAGACAGGCTGAGAGGATAAGGTTAAGAGCCAGGGTCAGGAGCAGGGGGAGGGGACAAGGAGGATAATGGGTATGGGGAATGGGAAGAAAGGTAAAAAGGGGAGGGGAGGGGGAAAGGAAAATGGGAAAGGGGGACAAAAAGGTAGGGTAGGATAGATAGGAGAGGGAAGGAGGATATGACAGGGAGGGAAGGGAAGGGAGAGGGATGAAGAAGGGGAAAGAGAGGGGGATGAAGATGGAATGGGCTCAGTAGGAGAGGGGAGGGATGGGGGACAGGACAGATAGAGGTTAGGCACAAATAGGAAGGCAGGGATTTGAATGCCTTTATGACTTCATCCAAGTTATTATGAGAGGTAAGGGAGAGGGAGGGAGAGGGATGAGGAGGAGCGGGAAAGAAGTGAGAGGAGGGAAAGGCTAGGAAAGAGAAGGCATGGGGGATCAAGAGGTAGTGGATTGGGATGGAGTAGCAAGGGGAGAGGAGGCAGAAGGGACCAAGAGGAGAGGGGCATGGAGGGGGAAATTCTAATGTCTAAGACTTTGTCCATGCAGGTTATTATCAGAGATAAGGGGAAGAGAGGGAGGGTGAGGGGAATGGGGAGAAGAGACGCAGAGGCAGGAAAGTCAGGGGGATAGGAAGGAGGAAGGGGACAGGGAAAAGAGACAAGAGGAGGAGAGGGAGGGGGAGAAGAGCAAGGGGGTGGGACAGGGAGAAGGGAAGATAGAAACACATGGGGGTGGTTAATGTTTTCATAACTTCATCCATGCAGAGGTAAGTGAGAGGAAGGGAAAAGGAGGATGAGGGAAATGGAGACAAGAGAAGCAGAGGCAGGAGAAGGAGGGGGAAAGGTAGGAGAAAGGGGAGGGGGACAAAGAGATGGAGTGGGACAGGGAGGAGAAGGCATGGGGAGGGAGGGGAAGAAGGACTGAGGAAGGACAAGAGCAATGGGACTCTCATTGGCTTGTGTGACATAAAGCTGTTAGCACTTTCAGAATTTTTTGTCTTCATTCTTATATTAGGCATATATAATAGGGGCAATCATGTGGGAGTCAAGAAAGTGAAAACGTGACCATGGCAATGTCACCAAAACTTTCCCCCCTGAAAGGAGGATGCATAAAAGGCAGAAGGGTTTCCAATTATGCCTTTTCTCTTGACTTGATACCCCATTGCAGATGTCCCTGATGTATGAAATCTAATACTTTTGTGTAAGCACTGAACAAATTTGGTGTGCAAGTGATTTCATAATTCATCATGACTTTCTTCACGTACATATTGCTGAATAGTTTTTCACCAATTTTAATAGGATTACATTATCCATACATAAGGTACTTCATGAAGTATAATATGTGAGTAGTATTTCAATCTAAGCAGAAAAAATAGACATAGACCATTTCCAGGTTGTGATGCATAGACTGAGTCAATCCTTCCTCTTGTAAGCAACTCCATTGCTGTGGGATTACCATCATTCTATCTCTGCCTTTATTATCTCTAATCTCTATCTCTATATCATCTCTGTCATCTCCATCTCTACTTCTATCATCAATCCAAATCTATATAACCACCAATCCACCAGAAGGAACTTTTGGCAACAATAATAAAATTATTTAAAAAATAAAATACATAATAAAAGCACAGTACACTAAAAAGACAATTTAAAACAATAAACATTAAGACCCTGATAAACTTCACATTTATGTACCAACCACCACATGCTAACTCCATCAGTGTTCTGGTCCCAGTGCCTGGAAAGAAAACCAAATCTTAACTGCTGATGTTACAATCTGATGTCTTCCTGTTGCAATCTCAAGATTTTTGTAAGATGTGGAACTTCCATTTCAAGCAGCAAGTATCACTGTGGGAGTTGCTGCATTGTGCTGGTTTTTATTTTCCGAGGCCTTCTGTACAAACTATTGAAAAGTCAACTGGGTTGCCTAACTCTTATTCATTATTTTTTTTTCCACAGCCATTAATGGTAAAATTATCCACTATATGTTATAGAATTCAGGTGGTGTATTATCCCTGCCAAAAACTCTAAATGGCCTATTTCATGGCTAGTATAAAAATATCCCCTAAATCAGGGCTTTTCAACCAGTGGTATAGATACCACTTGTGGTACATTGGCACCTGGCAGGTGGTACATGACCATCCTAGTGGGGGAGGGGAATGAGCTGAACTGGTGGCAGCATCGCACAAGCCTGAGCGAGAGATGGCTGGAGCTGCAGGGCTGTCAGGGCTCAGCGGAAGCGCCAGGATCAGTGCCAGGCTCCAGCTGGAGCTCGGCGCTGATCCTGGTGCTTTTGCTAAGCCCTGAAGAAGCACCAATCAGCTGGAAAGCAGCACTGATCCTGGCACTTCTGCTGAGCCCAGAAGAAGCGCCGATCAGCTGGAATGTTGCAGCATCTCCAGGGTCTTGTGATTTACATTCAGATGCTTGGCAACTGATTCATATTTATGATGGACATAGTGTCCCAGGGTCATGTGAAGTGACCAAAACCTGCTGCAACCACCCAGCAGATGGGGGGAATAAAAAACAAACATCCCTCACCCCACCCCTGCTGCCAATCCTCAACAGAAATGCTCACAACAATGAAAACCTCAGATAGGAGGAAGAGTGCTGCTGGGTGGACAGGCAAGTGTCTTGCTCGGCTGTGGCTTGGGGGGGCACTTTTTTCAGTGGCTTTGTAACTTCAAACAGTCACTAAGCGAACTGTTGTAAGTTGAGGACTACCTGTACTTTATCACTTTTTACCTTTTTTGGGGGGTCATCAAGTTTTTGACACCTTGCTAGGTGATTGGTGGTACTCGGACGTTGCCATATCCTAAAAGTGGTACAATGGGTGAAAAGGTTGAAAAGCCCTGCCCTAAATAATATAAACCAGTTATACTTCTGCAGTATATTTAAAGTCAAAAGCAAACATTGCTTAATGCAAACAAGGAATGTGAGGAATGCTACTAGCTTTAATGAGAGAAGAATTTAAATGGCTTCAGGAGATGACTAAAACTTTAGCCCCTAGAGCATTAATCAATGCTGAGCAATTAGGGCTGTTTTCTGTTTATCAGCATTAAGACTACATACTGCCAGCTTATAAACATGCTCAGATCAGCTAGTTTCTCACAGATATCTCTAACAGGAACTGCTGGTAAATGGCACTTACCATCAAAACTATCCTGTTGCATTTTGGTCTGTTGTTTCAAAACCAAAGGTTCCCTATTATAAAACAGAAGTGGACTTTAGCTACATACTGTCATCCTTATTTCATTCACCCCATTGGCTCAAGTGCTGGATAAGCTCACTGGGTTTGAGCCTATCTTAGATTGTTCTTCCCAGCCTTTAGAACACTATTGAGTGAAAATTGGAGGAGAGAGTGCTGTGTAGATCTTGGTGGTCTCCTAGGAGAAGAATAGGCTAAAAATCTACCCTCTCCCCCAAAATACCCCACAAACAAACAATCAAACAAATAAAACATGCTACAGTGAATATTTAATAATAATAATAATAATAGTAAAGTTGGAAGGGACCTTGGAGGTCATCTAGTCCAACCCCTTGCTCAGGCAGGAAACCCTACCATTTCAGACAAATGGCTGTCCAGTCTCTTCTTAAAAACTTCCAGTGTTCGAGCATTTACCGCTTCTGGAGGCAGGTTGTTCCACTGGTTAATTGTTCTAACTGTCAGGAAATTTCTCCTTAGTTCTAGGTTGCTTCTCTCTTTAGTTAATTTCCATCCATTGCTTCTTGTCCTGCCTTCTGGTGCTTTGGAAAATAGCTTGATTCCCTCTTCTTTGTGGCAGCCCCTGAGATATTGGAATACTGCTATCATGTCCCCCCTTGTCCTTCTCTTCATTAAACTAGACATACTCAATTCCAGCAACTGTTCCTTATATGTTTTAGCCTCCAGTCCCCTAATCATCTTTGTTGCTCTTCTCTGTACTCTTTCTAGAGTCTCAACATCTTTTTTACATTGTGGTGACCAAAACTGGATGCAGTATTCCAAGTGTTGTAAAGTGGTATTAATACTTCACGTGATCTTGATTCTATCCCTCTGTTAATGCAGCCCAGCACTGTGTTGGCCTTTTTGGCAGCTGCAGCACACTGCTGGCTCATATTTAAGTGATTGTCCACTAGGATTCTGAGGTCCCTCTCACAGTTACTACTATTGAACAAGGTGCCACCTATGCTGTACTTGTGCATTTGGTTTTTCTTGCCTAAATGTAGAACCTTGCTTAACCTTGTTAAATAAACAACTCACTGAAAGCTCACTATTGTTTATCTTCTTTTTTTATTTTTCAGAAAATGTTTTTATTAAACCTAGAATGCATACATGCCTACATATCCACCAATTTCTTGCTTGCTGAGATTTTTGTTATATTTCTGCTTTTTACAGTAATTTAATGAAGTGAATTTTGATTATTTATTATTCTTATTTTTTATTATTTCCAGAAAGTGTTTGCTTATTTGTTTGAAATATTTCTAAACTGCAAAAGCTGGCTTAGTTAATAAAGTCACAGAGTAATTATTTGGCTTCAATGCACAAATCTTTAAAAGCTTTCTGAAAAATGAAACTCACTAATCTCCTAATCATCCTTATGTTTTCTGTATGCTATCTTTTGTTATAGCCTCAAAACCATATAATCTAAGTTGCACCTCTTATGATTTATAATATATCCCGTCAATCATCTATTATAATCAGCTGGATGCTTTTGGCAGAGATAGCTAATAGTTTTCGGGCTCAAGCTGTTCCATCCTATAAAAGTAGGCATTTTGAAGGTTTAGATAGATTTCTTCATCACTGTTGAAGTTTTTCTCTGTAAGGTTGTCATTTAAACATCTGCTAGTATGCATATCATTAATTGTTCATTGGTTTGGGGTCATGTAATTCTAAAATGTTCTAATAATTATATGAAATATTTTGATGCATTTTATTGTTTTATAAAATTTAT